TATTACGAAACGCATTCAAGTGTCGCGTCAGACTAGAAATAAAAATGAATTTTGGAGAATTGATTTTTCAATTACCATCGACAGTGAAAGGAAACATAAGAAATATTGAGAAAATTCGAGTTAGAATTATTAATCTTACTTATTCGGTCATATTTAATAATATATGTTTACAAAAGAGACTGCTACCAAATATACTAATATATATATATATATATATATATATATATATATATATATATATATATATATATATATATATATATATATATATATATATATGCAACAATGATCACAAAAACACTGATCCAAGTATGCAGAATAACCACATGTGAAAAATAGAAAATGCTTAACGCGTTTTTCGGCTAATTCGCCTTCATCAGAGCAAAGTAGAAACAGAATAGAAGAATAGCAAAGTAGAATTCTACTTTGCTCTGATGAAGGCGACTTAGCCGAAAAAACGCGTTAAGCATTTTCTATTTTTCACATGTGGTTATTCTGCACATATATATATATATATATATATATATATATATATATATATATATATATATATATATATATATATATATATATATATATATATATATATATATATATATATATATATATATAATATATATATATATTATATATATATATATTTCAGCCAAAATTTGGGTACGTGCGTGCGCTTGAGGGCTCTGTTACAAAATGTGTGAGTGTGTGAGTGGTGGAGTATCGACGGTGCATTTGCTGATGGGATTGGTTATGCCAGACAGCCTCCATGGGGCGCAATCAGCGCGCTCCTCTGTTGCAAATTGGCACTAGGAAAGCTTGTGATTACTTTCACAGAAATTATACTCACTTTTTTATGTTGGCCACGAAGTATATACACTATATATATATATATATATATATATATATATAGATATATATATATATATATATATATATATATATATAATGTTTCACTGAATATGACAATGAAATGTGAATAGGAATTTTATTGAATATAAATAGTGCTCTTGCATCTTGGTTTAATTGAATTATTTTTGCAAAGGTCACATTTGTTCGAGGTCACATTTGTCAACCGAAAAATTGACTGTAGAATGTGTTACACATTATAAATTTACACAACGTTTCGAACCTACATTCGGTCCCGAACCTACATTAGGGGCCTAATAGCTGAGTGGACAGCGCTCTGGACTCGTAATACTAGGGTCCGGGTTCGATCCCCGGTGATAGCAGAAACAAAATGGGCAGAGTTTCTTTCACCCTGATTCACCTGTTCACCTGGCTGTAAATAGGTACCTGGGAGTTAGACAGCTGCTACGGGCTGCTTCCTGGGTGTGTGTGTATGTGTGTGTGAAAAATAATAATAAAGTTAGTAGTTAGTAACAGTTGATTGACAGTTGAGAGGTGAATACACCTCTCAACTGCAACTAGGTGAATACATGGTTCATTCTCAAGTGATGGGAAAGGGCGTATCCGATTTACACCACTGGGAGGTCAGGTACTCACAATTAGGTGAGTTGTATAGGGTAAGAGGCATAGACCAGTAACCAATACATACCCGGTTGATGGGGTTCTGGGAGTTCTTATACTCCCCAAGCCCGGCCCGAGGCCAGGCTTGACTTGTGAGAGTTTGGTCCACCAGGCTGTTGCTTGGAGCGGCCCGCAGGCCCACATACCCACCACAGCCCGGTTGGTCCGGCACTCCTTGCAGGAAACTATCTAGTTTCCTCTTGAAGATGTCCACGGTTGTTCCAGCAATATTTCTTATGCTCGCTGGGAGGGTGTTGAACAGCCGCATCATCACCATCACCATCTCAGCGGCCGGGCCAGCAGACGTGTTGTCAACAAATACTAACAGCACCACCAACTACCCTGAAATAGCTTCTACCGGGGCATAACTACCATTAAGGGGCATAATTGACTGATCCCTCACAGTGTTCAAGAGAGAACTGGATAAGCACCTCCAAAGGATACCTGATCAACCAGGCTGTGATTCGTACGTCAGGCTGCGAGCAGCCACGTCCAACAGCCTGGTTGACCAGTCCAGCAACCAGGAGGCATGGTCAACGACCGGGCCGCGGGGACGCTAAGCCCCGGAAGCACCTCAAGGTAACCTCAAGGTAAGGTACCAGTAATCCACGACACCTGAGCCTACCTCAGACTGCGAGACCAAAGACAAGACCACCAACTACGGGGGCTACGGACTCCTCAGACGAGGACATCTCAGTAGGAGCTCCACCGCCGCATCACAACACGACACCTACCCGGTACAAGACCTCCTCATGGAGGCCACCTCACCAAACTCCGACGAACTCCCTATCAACTCGCAGCACGGCTCAGCCAAAGAAAAAACGGAAGACCTGCAGGTCTACAGTAACCCACCAGCTCCATAACTGGTACAGCCAGCCCTCCGAGGCTGAAAACCATCATGAAGACCCCCATCCATCCCCAGATCTCCAGTATCAACTCTTGGTACGGACAATGGCTCCAGAGTCTCCACTTACGG